AAACTGAGACACACAAAATTACTACGGTTTTGCACTTTCTACTTTCACCCGAAACAATCGAAAAGAGAGGAAGAAAGCGAAAGTGAGAGTCAAATGGCAGCTCCATCAGACAACAGAACAGACACTTCTTGACCTCGCTTCAGTAGACAACAGTGTCAACCGTAGCAGCAGCAGCAGCAGCCGCAGCAGTTGCCAATGTGACAGGTTGTACCGATCGGTAATTGCCCATTACTCAACGCCTGCTTACACACACACAGCTGACAGACGCAGACAGTCTGGAGAGTCATTAGTGCCGGAAGACAAAGTGTGTGATCATGACAGTGAGTTGAACCAACGAAGTGACTGGATTTTATTAGTTATTGACTAAATCATTGGTACAAAGAAAAAACAGGGATTGGATTTGTAGATTTGTAGACACCAGTGTGCTGGTTGGACAGTTCTGCTGTCGACAGTGAAAGGTGAGACAGTGAAGCTGCCTCGTCCTCATCACCATCAACATTATCATCACAGCCCCCCACGGTGTTGGATCTTGAGAGAGAAAGGTAGAGATGCTGATCAGCTTGTGAATAAAAAGGAAGAGAGTGTGGTCAACTGGTCAACAGGCCAAGATCAGCAGATTGGTCGCTGGCAGTTGAGGAAGAGTGTGTGTTTGTGTGGAGATGAGTCGGAAGTGTGCACGGAGCCACGACTGACGAGAAGAGAGAGATTTGAGAGAGAGAGACTGGTTGGGCGATGCTGAAGATCGACGATGAAGAGGGGAGTACTCCGATCACCGAGAATCAGATCACCATAGCCAGAAGTAAAACTAAGAAGAATAGGATGTGAGGTGTTGTTGTGCTGAATGATTGGCGTGTGGTGGTGGTGGTGGAAGCATTCTCTACATTCAGTGACATTAANAGAGAGAGAGAGACTGGTTGGGCGATGCTGAAGATCGACGATGAAGAGGGGAGTACTCCGATCACCGAGAATCAGATCACCATAGCCAGAAGTAAAACTGAGAAGAATAGGATGTGAGGTGTTGTTGTGCTGAATGATTGGCGTGTGGTGGTGGTGGTGGAAGCATTCTCTACATTCAGTGACATTAACATTGACACTGATGTAGGCCACCGGAAGCTGCTCGCTTAGATGCGCTTGTAGCTTCGCACCGAGGTGACACCGTCGACGCTGGCAGTGACGACGACGTCGTCGCCGTTGAACTCGCGGATGATTTTAACCTCCTTGTCGCCGAACTGGGTCTGCACCAGCTTGTTGTCGCCCTCCTTGTTGACAACGGTCTGAAAGAGTGAAATGTGAAATGTGAGCACGTCAAATCGAAACGAAGAAATGTGAGCTGTCCTCCCTACCTTGACCTTCTTGCCGTCGGCGCGGTCCTCCTCGAACTCCTCGCCGAGCTTGAACTTGATCTCGGTGTTCTTGAAGGTGGACAGACTGCGCAGCGTGTACGTGTCCCCGGCGACCTCCACCTCGAGTGTGGGCTTCAGCGTCTTGGCGGCGGTCTTCACCATGAAACCAACGCCGAGCTTGTCGAGGAAGGCGTCAAAGTTCTCGCTCTTCTCTGCAATGGAAAGTCGGTGTCAGATCTTATAGTCGGTCATGCTGGTGATCCACCGAACCGAATCAACCCGAATCAACAAACAACTTACCGAGCTTGTACTTTCCTTCGATGGTCATGGTGATGGCTGGTTGGTTGGTTGGTTGGTGCTCGGGCACGAGAGAAAGAAAGAGAGATAGGATGAGTCGGATTGAGCGAGATGAGCGGTGGCGAGGATTTCTGGCTGCCAGGGAGTGCGAGTGGTTTCGCCGGCTGCCCGCTGTCGCCTTTTATACTCGGTGACGGCAGTAGTGGTGGTGGCAGAAGCGAAGGCAGAGGCGCTGGGGATGGGCCGCCATCCGCTGCTGCTTCTGCTGGAGCTGGTGAGAGCTAGCGGCAGAAACAACGGCAGCAGAAAACGGTAATCTCCACACAGTCATTGTGTGTGCCCCTCCGGTGCCCCCTGTCTCTTCTATGCCACAGTGTGAGATCGTTCACTGGCTGGTTGCCCCCCGAGCACTGCCGCCTCCTCCTCCCGCTCACCAGTGGCACCGACGAACATTTATTACACTGTTAGGGAGACTCACATCCCCTGCTGCTTTGCACAGAGTGTGCGATACGATGAGGTGATGTGCCACCACTGCCGCCAGCCCTGGTCGGCGACGAATGACACCGCGCACAGAGACCAGACCAGACCAGACCACAGACCACCAGACACCGAGATGGAATGCAAAAAGTGCAGACAGTTCAGTAACACCACTGACTTTCTGTTGCCGGGGCAGGCAGGCGCACTGACTGGTGGTCGGTAGTACCTTCTCTTTTCGGTGCGTAAAACACTCACGTTTCTCATGCATCTCTTTCATCCGCCGCTGCACCGCGTGTGCATTCCCATTAGCAGGGATTCAAATTACCACTGCCACCGCCAGTGGCATCGTCATTGGCTTTGGATGCGGCCAGTAGTGGTGAAGGCATGCAGGGGAATGACGTGGCTCCAGTAACGGTAGTAGTGGCAGTGCTGTGGTCCACTTTAGAGTGCTATGGCAATGGTCAAGACAACAAGGCAACAGTTGACGAACAAAGGGAACAAAGTGTGCTGCTGCTGCTGCACCTCTGGTCACTGTCGATTAACGATGATCCTCAACACTGCGACTGTGACTGTGGTGACATCGATGGCGCCCAATTTACCGTTACTTCGTCAGCCATTCGGCTGCCATTGCCTTCTGACGCTTTGTCTGACGTTTTGCCGATTAACTGTCCACTAATAACAATGACGACAGATGAAAGAAAGGGGAAAAGAAAAAGTAGAAAGAAGAAGAGACACAGCAGCTGCAAACAAAAGCGAAGCTTTGCTGTTGCACTAAAGTCCACCGCTTTGGATTACAGCAAATGAGAGGAGAGAAAAGAGAACGTTTCAGCAGATGTTCTCCTTCCCAGCCAGTCACCCTGTACTTCCACTGCTCATCCAATGAAGTTGTTGTTGATGATGATGATGGAGGATCGCTTATCGAGCAGTGTGTGTGTGTGTCGGTGCACTGTCACTGCTCTGTTTGTGGCAGTTCGGTTTCTTCTTCAACAGCAGCAGCACTGCTGGCTTCTATCTCACTTTCCTTTCACTTTCACCACCACCATCACCACCCACCACAGGAGTACGAGGTTACCGAGAGGAAAAAGTAGACAGAAATCAGCCATTCGCTGCTTATCACCCCTAATTTGTCACTTCTCTTTTCCGTCCGATATAGTGTAGCAATCGCTGTCGGGATGGAATTTGACTCCAGACTGCTTCTGCTGCAATCGGTCAGTGGGCTGAAGATGCGATCAGTGCCTGTAATATCAATTATCAGTGGCACCCTGTATCAGTGGATGTGCAGTGGATGTTGTTGTGTTGTCGCTTTAGATGAATCTTCAGAGTTGTGTACCGTTCAGTTCTATTTTCAGCAGCAGTGTGGTAGTTTGCGACACTCAGGGTTTCTCGCGTACCCAGCACCAAAAGCTGGCGACGTTTTTCAAACTGTAGCTGCTGCTTCTGCCGTTGCCGTTGTACAGATCGGCGACAGATTGGCTGCTCCTGCTACTTTTGGTAATTTTTAGCTTTCTCATCCAGTGCTGTTGCCTGTGACGATCACATCTGACGTGTGCTAGCAAAGCAAAAGTTTGCACTTTTTTCTGCTTCACATGACAGGAAAAAGAAGAAAGAGAGAGTGAGAGAGTGAGAAAACAGGCGAGCATCCTCAAGTAGAAGAAAAAGCGGGAATTCACTGGCGTACAGTGAGCCTGGCACACAGACACAAGCCACGCACGTTGGCAGTGAAGTCAGTACACATTAGGAAAAAATGATCAACAACTGTACAGAACTGTACAGGAGGTCATTCGGAGGGAAAGACCAGACAAGCACCATCCTCAGTACTACTAGGACACACCACCAAAGTGATCGATTCACTCTGATCAGTTTCACTCTGGTTGTCCACTTGTGTGCTGGTGCTGTCAATGCCTATGCGGAACCCAATCCACTGTTGCTGCTGTTTAGTCCTTCTCATTGTGGGAACATTCCACTGGTGGTGATGTCAACCAGCCATCTATGTACGTGTACGTGGCTTGTGTTCTCTCAAGCGAAATCAATTTGCACATCTCATCGAGCAGCATGCACACAGGCACTGACAAACAAAACACGCGACGAGCTTTTCCCGTTTACTGTTTTGTGGTCTGAGGAAGGAGAAGAAGAAGAAGAGAACGGAATACATTGCTTTTCGCTGGTAATTAGCGGCACTGCTGCTGCAGCACTAACCTCCACTCCGAAATGACGGTCAAATTGGCTGACAGTGTGAGTGCAACTACTGTGTTTGCACTAGAGAGCTAGTCAATCGAGGAAATGATTGCTGGCACAGCAGTTTCTTTTTTTCTGATTGCTGTCACAGCTGCCTACCGAACAAAGGGATCCCTCAATGCAGGATCTTTGTGACGGTGTGTGCGCGATTAGCGGATAAAATGAAAAAGAGTGCAAATAGAGTGCCTGAAAATGCACTGTACGGCAGTGAAAAGAATAAGAGGATAGATAGTGGCTGAAATTGCAGGACAGGTTTCATCAAGTCAGTTCCTATTCTGCTGAAAGGTTTGTAAAAAAATCAGCTGCTACTGTACAACATTAAACCTGTACAGTAGCTTGACGATGATGATGAGCTCATCACCTCCACCAGCTCACCAGCTTTGCAAATCGTAATGTCCATCGACAATCGACAAGCGATTTGCTCCTTCCTATCTAAGCGACACTGCTCATTCAGTCCACCATCCTTTCTACTGTTTTCGGTAAACTTCTGCTGTTTGTTGGTTTGTTGGTGGTGTTCATTGAAGCAAGCGCAAGCATGAAAAAGGTATGCACTCGCATTGTCAGCGGCCACTCACGGCTGACAGCAAAAGCAAAAATGTTT